ACACTGCGAAAAATTTCATAAATAAACAAGTTGTCTGTCCATTATTTTAATGAGTTAAGGGATGCAATAGATATGGTGGTTAAAGGCGCATTTAGGGGATGTTCTTAATTTTAAAATTCATATGTATTTTTTTCATATTCATATTTTAAATTTTCAAATTTAATTTCTTTTAAATTTTAAATTTTTAATATGTTTTTTTCAATTTTATATTTTCAATTCATAAGGTTTTTAATATTTAATTTTAATTTAAGATTCAATTTTTATAGAAATAAAAAAAATGTTAACATTTATTTAAATTGGCGCCAAATGTCACTAGCTCTTCAATTTCACACAAAAATGTTTCAAATCAATTTACAATCACGCATCAAAAATGCAATAAAGTCATTTCACGTCACAATTTTCCATCAAAAAAGTCCAAAACAAAACGACACAAAAACGTGAATGAAAATACAAAAAAAAATTGAATAAAAATATTTTACAATTCTGTGACAAAAGCTATCGATTGTTGAATGAAAAAATTGAATTATTCAACAACAGAAGAAAAAAAATTGAAATGAAAAATTGGCATGCAAAATAAGTGAGAGAGATGGCAAAACAGCGAAGAATGGAATACAAAAAAAAAAATACGTAAATAAATTGAGACAGCAGAGAATGAATATAAAAATATGATAAATATGTCTTGCATTTCAATTGAAACTGACAGTTTTTGTAATTTGATTTCTTCATGGCAGAATAATTTTCAATGCAATTTTCATTTTGAAATAAATGAGAGAGAAAAAAATATTAAAAAGAAGAAGAAGAAGAAAGAAAAAAATGTTGAAGGCAACAATCAAAGTTGGAGTGCATGCAACGTCATTAGCTGTCTAAAGTGACTGAAAATTCAATTTAACAATTTTTAGCTGATATTCTGGAAAGTTTTGATGATGATGTGAGGTCAGTTTGTCGGGATGTATCAGGATTCATTGGTTTTTATGTTTGATCTTGCTTAGTCCATGTTAAGCTTAACACAAAAGTTTGTTAACAATTCGTTCTATGGACGTAATCGGCTATTTTTTGAGATAGCAAAAGTATGATTAATGTGATAAACTAGCGTTTTTGATAAGGGCGTATCCCACAAGGTACGATATGGTAGCTTGGTGCCTAGATACTAGCTTAAAACATTATATTCTATTAAACTAGCCACTTTAGCGAACTAGAAGAAGGTTTTAAAGGAAAGAGCTGTACTATGGGTCCTCGATTTGAGTAGATTCGATTTGAATAGGATTTTTCTGGAACAAAACACCTACTCAAATCGAGGACCCCTAGTATTTAGACGATCTCCAATCGCGGCAATGGGCCCACGTTCACCTTAACATAGGAAGTTTGAAGTAAGGAATGTGCAGACGATACCTCTCGACATGACTAATTATAGCTAAAATCTAAGAGGTACCTAGGATCACCATGGATCTGTAGAACCATCCAGAATTGTAGAAGAATCTGAATATCATATAAAAGACCATAAAATCCTAAATCTACATCCAAATGCGCTCTATTCCCCAACAAATTTCCATCACAAGTCACATCCAACATTCTCGAAACTCATCCTTATTTTTTCACAATAAAAATTATATCGAAAAATCATTTTATTTAATGCTGTTTGTACTGTTGTTTAACAAGCATTGAATGAGCTCGACCCTTTAACGTCTATATAAGTGCATTTATGCTGTCATTATTGTACCTATTACCTTTCTCCAATATAATAAATATATTTAAGTATAACATACATGTGTTTGGATGTGCATGAGATGTTAAGTAAGTAAGTAAGTGATTGAAAGGGGATTAAAAGATGAAAAGAAAATCATTTTTTAAAGGTAATAAGAAGCAGAAAACATGTTGAACGGTGATGACTTAAATGAGATTTAATATTTTTTTCTCTCTCTCTACGTTGCGGTTTCTTCCTTTACATTATCCTCACTCACACTTGATGTACGTCTCAAAAGAAGAAGATTTCATTACTTTTCATTTCATATCAATTCATGGGATGATATAGGGCTGACTTGATGTGAGTTGAAGGGAAAATTATGATATTTATCTTTTCATAATGTCTTTTCTTTTTCTCATGCGCATTAAATTCTAGTCTTACTGTACGTTTCGTTGTTGATGATTTGTGACAGGTATTATTACCATTCTTGACAGCTTACTTGACAGTTCTGGAACTGAATGAATGTGTTTTTCTTTTTCATTATTTTTTCTGTTATTATTTGTGTGCTGAAATATGTTTATAAATGGATGTGGATGTGTGCGATAATAATTATGGTTGTAGATTCTCAACAATATGCTCTAATTTATTTATTGTGTGAAAGTGGAAGGATTGTGTTGACAGGAAATGGGATGGGGCTTTTAAATCGATTCAGAGGTTTTTGTTTTAAATTTTAGATTAGTTTTTAAAAGGATAGCTTAATTTTGGTGAATAATTTTAGTTTTTTTCAGAGCTCGAAGTAGACTCAAGATTTTCATCGATTTTGTAGGGCGGAGTCGATTTGACTCCCTACAAAATTTCATCGACTTCGAGCTCTGGTTTAAATTACTCAAAACAAGAAATTAATATAGTGTTGCTTAGATACTTTGAGAAAACTAGCTGAAGTAGCTCAAGAGCAAAGTGGTAAAGTACCTAAGGACATAAAAACTATAATTTCAAATGTCATAATCCTAGGTTCGAGTCTCAACAACATTCAAAAATTTGTCAACTGTCAAAATGATAATCTTATGAGTGATTGAAATGATACTTCAACATGCGGGTTTAGAATTTGTATCCGGTAAGGGGGTTTTGAGGTCAAAACTGCCTCAAACTAAAGTCTGGTCTAGTCTACCTACCTAAACCTAGAAAAATTCTTCAATCTGCATTGGTTTTCTGAGAAAAAAATTACAGGAATTTGAGTTTGAATCATTTGAATAAGCTAAAAATCTAAAATTCTAGAAAAGAAACTCGAATGGTCATAAGTCAGCACCAATAGACATCCTAACCATCGAACTCATTTCACACGAAACTTAAATAAATTACTCATAGCTTCACTCCTTTGTTCTCATTCTCATCCAAACATCCAAAACATTAATTCAGCATATCATTTACCTACGTATCCATTCATATAACCTCAACCATATTCCATCAGTTCCTGTAAAAAGTAATAAAACTCAAATTCAGGTCAATTACCATGCATGATGCGCATCAAATAAACATTTTTTTGATGAACAATGTGTGAATCAACATCGACCCGACGTCACTTATTATTACTAAATTCAACTCAGTTCCTTTTCACTGCTTAACAAAAATGTTGCTAAAATAAAATTGTAAGGCAAAGAACAAGAACTGAAAGAATTATTTTTTCATACCCATTTAGACATGAACAATAAGCTGTAAAGGAAAAGAAAGAACAAAAACCTGAAAAAATAAAAATGAGCGGCAAAAATATATAAAAATGGATCGGGTCGACTGCCGACTGCTGACTGCTAATAAATAACACACAAGGGAAATGCTCTCTTTTTTAATATACTAAATCTCCAAGATTATTTATTACACGAAATAAATCATAACATGTTTCATTTTCAAATTAAACTTTTAAGGATGATTTATGTCTTTACAACAGCACAGAATGAACAGAATAAAGAAGAAATGGAAGTGAGAGAGAGAGAGAGTGAGAGACATGAAATTGTAAGAGAGAGAAAAACATTGCGAATTAAATTGAGCACTGGAATTCGAGCTGAGAATTCTTTTGTTAATGAAAATTGAGAAGATTAAAAAATAATTTTTTTTTTGTACGTATAAATTCTTGATTTTCTATGGACGCAGCTTGTGGGCTTAATGCCTTTTTATCCCTTTTGGTTTTATTATATTAACTGGATTTACTTGATTGTTAAATTAGATTTTTGCTGGTAATTTTTTGGGATTTTTTGATGTGGAATTTCCGGTAGCTTTAAGAGTTGGTTAGGTTTTGGGTTCTAAGAGTCATCAAAAGGGGGTTTAAAATTAAAAATTGGGTACTTTTTTAAGCATTTATGTCTATCAGACCATCAAGTTGTCACTTTGATTTTAAATGATGAAAAATTAATAGGCTAAGTTCATTAAGAACGCACAATTTTGGTTCAGAATCGTTAAGAATACACGACCTTGAGTCATATCAACCCCTAATCTCGAACTTAGGGGTTCGATAGAAGTGTAGGGGGTTCCTAGATAATATAAATAACAAGATTTACATCACCCTAAAAGAATTAATCTACAAAAAACCTTAAAACCTTCAGATCAACTTCAAAATAGATTTAATCGGTTTCGTCCAAATTTTTTAACAGCCCCCAAATATTGACCTTCTTCATCCTTGCCCAGGAAATTTCTTTATCATCCCAAAAAAAAAACTCAAAAAATATCAATTCAAAAACTTTCTTCTTCTTGATTTATTTTTTTTTCTCTTCTCGCTTTTCCTTCAACATCATCTTCACGCATTTAATTTCATTTTACATTTTTCATCTCTCAATTTGTTCTTCTCAACTCAATTCTCTTAACAAGCATAACTGCCTTTTATATTCAAATATCAATTCGTTTTCATTACAAAGCTCATTCATTTTCATTATTCTCGGCCTTTTATTTCATTACCAAAAAAAAAATGATATCTTTCATTCGAAAAAATTTCTTTTCATCCTAATAATGATCGTAATTAATTCACATAAGGAAACATGAAAACATAAGAAAGTAAAAACATAAGTTTTATAGAATTTTTTTTAAAAAAAATTAAAGATTTTTCATCCACATTATAATTTATATGTAATTTATATCCATGAGTAGTGATATTGTGTGAGTTTTTAAGCATAAACTTGGTTTTCTTTCTCTTTTACATGAGATGGAGGATATGTGGATTAATGAAGGCTGTTGTGGTGTGTAGTGTGAGGTGTCTTAGGGTTTATAGATTTTTTGTGAATTTTTATAGATGGATATTCGGTGAATTTTTAAATAAAATTATGTTTTCTTAGGATTTTGGATTAATTGATTATCAAGAATCAATCATTCTAGATGGTCATAAAAGTGACATAGTCATTTTATGAATGATTTTCTATGACCTGCTTTTGATGGTCTTACTATGGTGCTAAGGTGGCTAATGCTAACCTCTTTATTCATGATTTAGTCCTGACTTCTATGTTTTCAGGACAATTTGTATGTTTTGTTATAAAACTTATAGATTACTTTCGGCTATAGCATTACAAAATCAGCCTTTATCAATAAATAGCTCACAAAATTGCAAATTTAGGGTTTTTCAAAGGTCTAGATCCATTATCGAACCTTAAAGTGTATAAAAAGGGACCAAAAGTCACTAATTAACAGCAATATCTCAAAACCTACTAAGAAGTTGCCTGATTTTATATAACTCAACCCTAGACTAGCGCTTTTTATGATCAATTTTGCTAGCAAGAAGGGTAGGGGTTGTGGTTCAATAGATTCTGTTCTAATCCAGCTCAAAAGGCAAGGCCCTCCCCATGCTTTACGTTTTTAAGAGGGGGGAAGAGAGGGGGTCTGATAAAAACTAAATCCTTCAATCAAAAAGTACCAAAAATTTTTCAAATAATCCACAGAAAAAAAAAATCCAAATAAAAAACATGTAAAATTCACGAAAATCATCAAAAATCATGAGAACAAATTTTTTCTCAATGGATTCAAAAGTAATTTTTTGCACCTCACAAAAAAAATCCTCTTTTGTTTAAACTTCATTTAATTCTCTCTCACTTTTAATTCCTCTTTTTAATCCATCTATCCTCCATACAGTAGGTACTTTACGATCACACAACAAATTACTTCGCATTGTCACTTTTTTTAACACCAAAAAAAAATTTTCACATAATATTTTGTTGCTTTTGTCTCGCTCTCATAGTTTATCATCAATTAATTAATTAATTGTAATAATAATAATAAGTAGTAATAAGAATAGTAGTAATAATAATAATAATAATCAGCTAATTTTAATCTCTCAATTTTTTTCTGTAGTTAATTATTCTTCATTATTTTATGTATGAATTTATCACAGTATTTTCAGCTTGCGCGACACACACACACGAAATTATCATATATATTTTTTGTTGAGAAATAAATTTACACGAATAAAAGCATCTGAGAAGCTTAATTTTATTGTTATGGATGTGCGGCTGCAGCGGCTGCGGCACCTAGTCTTTGTGATGGTGTCATCCATGAATATGGTGGATAATATGCCGATAATGCGGGATTAAATGAGCTATATGGATTTCCAGCTGACTGTAAAGATCCAGGCTTTGCGTATGGATGATAACGTGACGCTGATAATGGACTAAGTGGTGAGGTACTTGGTGGATATGCGCCAGCAGCACTCCTGTGTAAACCAGGTGGGAAAAATAGCGGTGGCATGAGGGATGCAGCTGACTGTTGTGCTGCTAATATACTTGCAGCTGTTGCTGGATCTGAAAGATTTGGTGAGTGTGTCTTCATATGCTGAATCAGCTCGTCTGTTGTTGAATATCTTCGTCCGCAATATCCATCCGGCAGGAGCCAATTACATGCAAATGGTTTTGACATTTGTGCAAATGGATGATTTGGAGGTAGTGATGACATGGCCATAGCTAAGCCATACTTTTGTTGCTCACATTGCGTACAACCGGCAGGACATGGAACACCCATAAGCATTTGTTGATTATGTGCTGAATATTGACAGCCTGTGCAGTATGGATCTTTGCAGACTGGCACAAGAGCTTCGCCACCAGTCGGTGTCTTTATCCGTGCATAGCTCAAGTATGGATTAGCTGCATTTTGTGGATATCCTGATGCAGCAGCTGCTGCCAACATTGATGCATGATGTTGTGATAAAGCACTAGTAAATGATGATCTAAATGCTGGATTCGTTGGATCAATGCCAGATGGATAAAATGGATTGAAACCGGCTTTGTACATTCCCAAATCCTTTTGCTGTGATTGAAGTAAATCCAATGCTGATCGTGAAGAAAGTCCACCGGGTGACTCCTTTTGTGACAGACTCGGTGATTTATTTAATTCACTTTTTTCACTATCATTCTCGATAATATTATGGTTTTTATTATCAATGCTATTATTATTGTTATTATTATTACTGTTAACACTGGCAGGCGATTCGCGGTTACTATTGCGTGACGATACACGTGAATTATTATACATTATATCCTTTTTAGCATTTGATTTATTACTCTCATCACTCAAATTATCATCAACACTACTCGCTTTGGATAATGGACGATGCATGTCATCGCCATTTAGATTTTTACGACTCAACACGTTCACCTCGTATGGCTTAAAACTTAGGTCATTTATTTTATCCATTTTTTGTGCCGTCGGCTGAATTTGTTGTTGTTGTTGTTGTTGATGGTGTTTTTGTGGTTGTTGGGAATTATCCATTTTTTTCGATTTATCTAATCCTGATGAGGCTGATGATGGTGATGATACGAGGGATTTTACGTTATTTGAATCGGCTCCGATTTGGGAGCATGTTTGAGCCAGAAGGGCGAGGGGGCTCTTCTTGGAGTCCATCTGTTGGAAAAAATAGAAAAATTTAAATTATTCAAAATGTAAATTGATTTTTTTTATAAGAAGTGATTTTTTTAATTATTGAAAAATTGAACGAATTTAAAAACAATTGTTTTGAAATTTGTTATGGAAAAATATGAAATATGTTATGACAGGCAGATGTCAAAACTTTGATAGATTAAGCTGATATTTTTTTAAAATTGAATCAATCTTATGGAATTTTTTTTCTACTTTACACCACGTTTCAGTTGAGATTACAAAGTTAAATTTAACATGAATTTCGAAAAAAATGTTGAAAATTTGAGAAAAATTGAAGAAATAAATTTATTTTGTAAAAAAATAGGTTCAAATGTTGAGTTTGTTTTAAAAACATTTAATTTTATTTTTTTTTTGGAAAATCATTTTTATTCAATTTATTCAAATTTTGAAATTTGTTGGTCTATTTTATGTTCATTTAAAATTTTCATAGGTTTTTCTTTTTTTTTTGTTTTATAAAGGGTAAATTTTTTACTTTTGACAATTTGTAAGAACATTTTTTTTAATTTATAAGAGTGAATTGATTTTTTTTAAAACATTTCACTATTTTAATAATTGTTTTATTTTTTATTTTTTAATTCTTTAACAGTGTTAATTTTTCTTTAATCAGTTTTTTAAATTTTTTCGATTTTTTTTTTCATTTTCAATAATTCACTTTTAAAAATTCCCTTACCGTCGCTGAGTTGCCGGGTGACATATAATCTGGCTGTAAATATTGATTATTTCCTATAGTGAGCATTGGTACAGTCGTGTTCGCTCCTTCAAGCACAACCATTTGCGATTTATAAAAAAATTGTCTCAAACTTTTGGTTTTTCACTTATTCGAGTTGAAAATTTATATTTTTATGATTGAAAGTTTTTTTTGGTCGACGAAAATTATAAAATACTTTTGTAGATTTTTTTAAATCATTTAAATTTTTTTTTATAAATATAAAGTTGATTTTTTCACTTGATTATTATTTTTAAAAATCCGATGAATTGTTTTAATCCAGAGAATATTTTTTTATAATCCGATGCTGGTTTATTTTTGGTCGATTCTCCTTTGAATAATTTTTATTCCACAGTTTTTTTAATCCTTGAATTTTTTTGAATCATAATTTTAGAAATTTCACAAATTTTTAATTTTTTAAAAAATTATTATTTTCACGAAAAAATTATTCGTGATGTTGAATTTATTTTTTATAATTTTATAATCCATAAATTAAGAGATTTTCCAATTTTTTTCTTCACCTTTTGGATCTTTTACTATTTTTTTCCAAATAAATCCAATTTATTTATTATTCTTCTTTTCTTGAATCACTGGGAAAAAATCGGACTAGAAGTTTTCCACGTCTAACAAGTACGAAGTCAACTCTCGAACTGAGAGCAGTGCTCACTTGTGCAACAAAATGTGAGAAAATGTTTTTGTAATTTTTTCGAAAATGAAGCAACAGGAGAACATTTCCGAGAGCATAAAAAAATCCTCTCGCGAGAGACTTTTCGAAAATGAGAGAAATTCTCTTCGAATAATATATCAGCAGTGAGCATTGAAAGTCAAAAACATAGTTTCATGCATGTGCCAAAACGGAAAAAAATTTCCATGATGGCTCTTGTTGATGAATCTGCCAATAAAAAGCATGCGTTAGAGCGAAAAATCCACCATTGAAATATTTTTTTTGACGAGCGTGAAAGTCAAGTTGAGAGTGAGAATTTTTGCATGATTTTTCACGAGAGTTTTTCATGAAATTTATAAATATGGAATGACATATGATATAGATACATAAGCCACCCATGATGATCGTGATAGAACTTTTGAAATGTATATGTTGAAAGGCTTTTCTCAGACAGACTGTAAAATGAATTTTTGATTGAAGAGGCAAAGGCAAATAAAATTTGAGATGTTTGTTGACTCTGCTTTGAAATTGCTAGTTAAGTTGGGATTTCAGGGTTGGAGGTGGTTTATGGTGCAGTTTGGATTTGGGCCATGCTTTTAGAAATTGTAAAAATTTATTTTTAACTTTTGTGAACTTTTTTGAATTTTCTTTTAATTTTGAAATTTTATGTTAATTTTCAAAAATTGATTTTTAAATTTAAAACATATTTTTAATTTTAAAGATTTATTTTGAAAATTTGTTTGAATTTTAAAAATTAATTTTAACCTTTAAAACTTATTTTGAATTTTAATAAATTTAGTTTGAATTTTCAAATTAAAATATTTTAATTTATCAAAATTGGAACATTTGTGAATTATTTTTCAATTTTAAAAGCATCTAATGCGTCTTAACCACGGCTTTAATTCTAAAACCAATTCTTTACTTCTTCCTCCATCCGTTTGAACTAATCCGACTCATTTAAACTGAAAATGGGTATTTTATGCTGTTGCAGCTCCGATCTGCTACTGAAATGATGATGAAAAATTAAATAGATTTCATTTCAATTCATTTATTTTTCTCCTCATTTCCATCTTTATATTTAATTTCACATCTTTGATGTTGAAAGCTACTGACTGGTGATTATTGTGTTGATTTTGATGCAGTTGAATGCATTTTGAAATGGAAACCAGCATTTAAAAGAAGAAGAATGTGAAAAAATAGAAAAGATATATCAATAAATTATGTAAATGTTTTATGAGACGGAAGGTAAATAAGTCATGGCTCTGTTTGTCGATGGATTGTTGGAAGTGGATGAAATTGAATGAATTAATTTGAATTTTTTATTGCTTTTAAAGGTTTGAATAATTTAATAAATTAAATATGAAGAATCTCACCATTTTATCTTAAAAACTGAGCCACAAATCCACAAAAAATCACAAATAATCCCCGAAAAAAATTCCCAGTCAAGCACAAATCAACCTGACAGTCTACAAATAAGCCTCCCTCAAATACTCTTCCTCTCTGAACCTTGCTGATATGACAAGCAAATATTTACAAAATAAAAAAAAATATTTCTATTTTCACTCAAAAGTCATTCATCAAAATGCTATTTTTAAAGTATTCTTATCTATTTTCAAATAAACACTTAATGGTCTATTTCCTGCAATTCACCCTCACTCTATTGTTAAAAGGAACCATAAATAACAAGAAGGAGGCAAAAATAATGTTTGAGATTTTTTTCGAATGAACATCCAAAGAAATGTTTTTTTCTTTGATGAAAATTTTTGTCATGCCATTTTTTGGGATTGTTGTTTTGAGGAAAATAAGAAGAGATGTAGTGGATGGTTTGTCTAAGATGATCGCTTTCGAGATTAGGATCTTAGATTTTAGATCAACTGATATACTGACTAGGTAGTGCCTTTCTTAAATGCGAAACTAGAGGTTTTTGTAGAACTTCAAATTAGCAATTTCAAATATTCCTACAAATATTCTTCTTATTTTGGATCAAATTTAAGAAAACAGGAGCAGTGATGATACAAAGTTGCCTTCGACCAGATTCAAAAACTAGTGCCTTTGATTCCAAATTGCGAAGATTAGGTCCACCATTTTTGAAGTCAAGTGCTAGGTATCAAAACTGAACAGGAGGTCCTAATCCACCAACAATAGCATCAATTTGACCGACAATCACAAATTCGAGCGGCATACAGCTGAAAATTAGCCTGGAGAAGAACATCATGGTGCTGTCAGGCCACCTTCATCTCTCTTTCTTTTTTATGTTAAGGCGGTGACTTAAAAATGCCACTCGAAAGCACTTAATCATTAAGCTATCAAGCCACTTAAGCTCACAAGTGCGTTATCAAACCAGAATTTACTATGTCATAATTTTAATCTTTTTATAAAATTTATTGAAGCAAACAGTTGGCAATTAATTGTCTTATAGCTTTATATTAGACATTAACGTAAACAAACCACTTAACCATGCAATATTATATCCATAAAACATAATTAGGTGTATCTAATAAAATAATAAGACATACAATAAATATTTATTGTTCTGTTTAATTCCTCAATAAATGGATCCTCAATATATTTTATGGAAGACACAAGGAGACAGTACTTTATCAGTGTCATATAAAATGTCACTTCCTAATTGCAGATAAGTCAAATTAATTAACAGCAGTAAAACTGTTGCTTCAATGCTATTAAAATATTAAGGGGATATCAAATTCTATTAAATTTAAAAAAAAATGCGCTCTATTCTTTACTTTTTCCCATGCCATTTTCAATTGTTAAGGCCATTTACAATTCATTTATAGCAAAAAAAAAGTACAATTCATGTGTACCTTAAACGCTTTCATGCAACGTCCCTTTGATGAATTGTGAAAGATTTATGATGATACTTTACCTCCCCATATTTTATTGTGTACTGCTTGTGCATCCTTTCTTCTCTCTTTTCTCGGTGTCATAAAAAAGGAAGAAAAAGTAAATTTATAGCATTACAAAGAAAAAAAATCTTTCTTTTATTATTTATGGAGCACACACAAAAATAATTTGTTAAACATATCCTTTTGCCTTTCACATTTGACTGCTGCTGCTGATGCTGATGCTCTTTGCCAGCATACCTTTCGTGCGTCTTATTAAAGATTATAGGGGAAGTAGAAGAATGAGAGGTGATTTATTGAAATTTTCACATTGAATAAGTGCCTTTGAAGTGACAAAAGGGGGATGAAGTGCTTTTAAAATTTATTTAAAGTAAGATGAACGTCTAGGATGTTAAAATGAAGATATTTTCACTTGGTGACGGTTGGAAGATTTTGTTAATTCTAAAATCAAGACAACAGTTGTAATGAAAACGATAAAAAAGGCGGACTCGCATAATCTAGATTTTTAAAAATTATTTTGTGCGAATTATTTATTTGGAGATGAAATTATCAATTAGATCCAATATTGCGTGAATGATTTTAACACTGTTTGAGTACGAAAAGAGGTGAACTTAAGTTGCTTGGAGGCGAAATGGTTTAATACTTCGATACCTAATGTTTGCAAAAACGACACAGCGATCATGGGTTCAAGTCTCGGAATTGTTTTTCGAACCCTATGTACTGCAAATGAAGCTCACAGCTTTCCTTTGTAAGCTACTGACAGTAATGTCATCAAAGAGTATTTCAGATTCCACTGTAAATTGTAGGTCCAGAATTGTGTGTAGTGTTTAGCGTATCCTCACTCATTAAACTCTCATTAGCTGCGAATTGCCATAGCTCACCTCACATCGGAATTGAGGTTGCTAGAATTAATCAAAAGTAGATTTTTTTTCATTTGTTCAATATCAAGGCAGCAGCGAAAAAGCAACAGTGGCGTAGTGGTTAGAGTGTTGGCAAACCAACCTTATCGACCCGGGTTCGATCCGAGATAATGTCTAATCGAATTTAAGTGCTTCTTTTGCTGTTCTAGTCGTGGCTCGAATCAATTCGGTTTGCATGATTTGAGACGTGCAACCTGTGGCTAGGTACTTTGCATTAATATACCTTGTGTCAATGCAATTGTGCAGAGTTGCAAATACACAATCGTCCATTGAGGACAAAATATGTCTGTAAAAAGACCAATTGTCCGTTGAGGACAAGAATAATCAAATAACTTTGGGTGTCATCATCAATAAAATATTCCAAATCTATAATTAAGTTGTAATAGCCGCTGGCGCTAGCCCTCTTAAAATTGTAAATCAAAGAAATGCAGAAATAAAATATAAAGTTTTTTTTAAATAAAATCAAGATCAAAGCGTGGAAGTTAAACTTTGAGTAAAATGTGTTTAAATGCTTGAATTTATCTTAAAGTGTTTATGACTTGAGAGTTTTATTGAACGGTATACTATAAGGAGCATTCTTTAATACATACACTTAGATGATCTTTGGTGATTCCCCCAAATTGAAAATTAATTAACCTTAAATTTATCAAATTATTAATTTATTATTTCTTCGAAATGCTTAAAAGGTTATGATAAGCTTAAAATAATTTTAGGTGATAAAGGCTTGTATAAAAAGAATGAAAATTTAAGTAGCATCATTCAGTGGCAAATAAACATTAAGTAATAAGTGCTAATCCTACAACGAGTGAAGTGTTAAAATGAGAATTAAATTTTTCTTGTCAATTGTGTTAATAAATTTTCGCTCAAATTTTGGTCAAAGTTTAAATTGTACCTACAGTGGTTCAACAGCATACACTTGCAGCTTGACGATTCAAAACCCAAATGGATTCAACAATTTTACATCAATTGGTGGGACGCATTTAACTGGAAAGACTGACAATGATGTTCAGTATATTTCTAGTTCAGGATCCACAACTAATGTTCCGTCAATTATTTGTGACACATTTCCAAACTTACTTAAAATTGAGTTTGGTTCAAATGGTATTCAAATTATAGATGAAAAAGCATTCAAAAATTGTACAAAGCTTAAAAATTTATGGTTACAAAGTAATAGAATATCTAAAATTGATGAAAACGCATTCGTTGAAAATGTAGATCTACTTTTTATTACGTTTAATGTTAATCAAATAACCGAGGTAGCTGAAAATTTATTTATAAATCAACATAAACTTACTGAATTGCGTTTGTGCTCAATTCCTTTATCAGATTTGCCAAAAAATATTTTCAATTCACTCCAAAATTTGACTATATTGCACTTAGAAAGCAATATATTGAAAGACCTACGAGCTGAATGGTTTTTACCATTAACTAGTTTACTTACCATATATTTGAGCAGTAACCTCATCGAAGAGCTTCCAAAAGACATTTTCATACCAATGAAAAATTTGAATACGTTGTATTTAGGCAACAATAAGCTTAAAGTAATACCTTCAGATCCATTTAAAGGGGTTTCTAATCTTAAAACAATCCAATTTCAAAATAATCAAATTGAAGCGATTGATGAAATGTTCATTAATAACACTGGAGTCCAAAATTTAAACATGCTTAACAATATATGTGCAAATCAAGACATCGTCGATACTTCTATTCCAAGAACAGCAATGCGATCAGCGCTACAAAATTGCTTTAAGAAGTTCAACGATTTATATCCAGGTGAGAATTGGTTTCTTAGTTCGTTCAAAAGCTACAAACTTTATTTAATCCCTACAGACCACAACAATACTATAGACTGCACCTTTATGCAAACTGAATATGGCTACACATGTCGAGCATCAATCTACAATCCAAGTGGATTCAACGGTTTCACGACAATCAGAGGAGTGCATCATCCAGGCTTTAATGATTCGAATGTAAAAGCTATAATCGCAATGACAACTGTATCCCCAAACATCCCTAGGATATTCTGCGATAAATTATCAAATGTTGAGACAATTTATTATATTCAATTGAGTATCAAAAATGTGGGACCTAATTCATTTTGGAGTTGCAGCAAGCTATTGGACTTGAACATTTGGGTAAATCAAATTCAGGACATTGATAATTCCACCTTCTTTTATAGTCAACAATTAAAGAGACTTGACATGCGACAAAGTAGAATTTCTAACATACCTAGAAACCTGCTGTGGCCATTGACTGAAATGACGAGTTTAAATTTAGAGCAAAATAACCTAACGATCCTAGATCCTGACTGGTTTTTGAAGCAATCGAACTTGACTTACTTGAACCTTCAATTTAATAAAATTGAAGAACTTCCAAAGGAAGTCTTTAAGAACATGACAGCTTTAGAACAACTTGTGATGAACTACAATAGACTCGGAGTTATTCATTCTAATTCTTTTGGAATTCACTCAATGCTGACCAACGCATCTTTTGTGAATAATCAAATTTATGCCATCGATGAGAGATTTATAGACAACACTGGGCTTATTAATATTGATATGAGAGGAAATATCTGTGCAAATACAAACATTTTTGACAATTCACCAAACAGGGACTCGATGAGAGCAGAATTGAAAAATTGCTTTCAGAAATATGCGGATTTGTATCTGGGTAAGTAGCTTTAGGTGCCATGGAATGTTGACAAATGTGGTAAAGTTTTTAGAATTTTTAAAAAATAATGTGCAACTTTTAAGTTGGCAAGGGAGGAAGGGGGAAGGGGGAAGGGGTTGAGATGCTATTGAAAATCTCCTAATTTTATCTAATCTTTAAATAAAATTTATATATTTTTTCAAAATTCAACAGAAACGACAACTTCAACAACGACACAATCAACAACCTCAGTTCCACAATGTAATGTTGGCGATTTAGATGATCGAGTTTGTTTTCTAGAATTAGAAAATCACCGTTTGCAAAAAAGAATTGAGGCTCTGGAGAGTAAAATAGATGAGTTATAAGAACAGACTTTTAACCAAGATTCAAGAAGGTTTAAATTATATCAGGAAAATTATAATATTGTACCACAAAATTCAAAGAAAATCAGCTTCTTATAAGTACAACTCATAGGTGTTCATGTCTCTTAAATTAACATAATAAATTCAATTTTTTTAGATGAAATTTATTTTTACTATCTTTTGTATTGAAGGTATTGGGGGTCGTTCACATGTGACAACAGAAAATAACGGTAATTTTTAAAAAAAGAACAAAATATATCCTGGAATTTTTATTGTTTTTTCTAGCTTACCCCCATTTTATGTAAGGAGCTGGACGTCATAAGTGAACAGCCCTTTGGGTGATTTCATAACATTTTCCTATAATATTGTCAAATTGTATCAACAGCAGTCAGCTGTTGCTAAAAAAAATCACATCCCAAAATAATAATTAAATATCTAAAGTCTAAACAAACACAGCCATGAATGTCATTATCTCATCGCTTCACTTAAAATTCCACACAACATCCATTAATTTCATCTTTAGACATTTTAATAATGAACAAAATAAATATTAAGCAATAATAATAACAATAATAATGGCAATAATGATAGCAGAACTACGCTTATAAATCTTCACCAACAAAACAGCCAAGCATATAAGAAGAAATCAAATGAAAAGGCAATAAAAAAGTGCAAAAAGAGAGGAATAAAAAATCCCATTTAACAAATTAATTTATTTCCATTCATGTGTGCACAGAACAACAGCAACAACACCGGGGCCAGAAGAGTAAAAAAAATATCTTTATTACTTTATGAGCATATAAACGATATCTTAAATGATATTGCAATATATGAGCAGTTTTTTGCAATGCGAGTATGCGCGAAGACTTACTTGACTCGACACCCATTTAACAGCGGTGATACCGAGTAAGTGTGTTTGTAGATGCAAGCATCTGCCAGCTGTAGGGTGTCCATTCATGTGGATTCTTCAAGATTAAAGTAAATTCTTGATTTGAAAAGCTCATCTGAATTTTCTAGACTTAAATAAAGTTCAGTTCACTCCAAACGCCATTAAAAAGCTCAACTTACTTCGCTCGACCTGAAAAAAGCTCGATTCACTTCGATAGACTAGGATAAAGCTCATTTAACTTTGCTTGAATTGATCATACCTTCCAAAAAAATCCCAACCTATGGACATCCCACTCTACAGTCAAACCAATTCTCGCAGAATGGCAATGGAAAAGTATTGATAAAAATTGCAAGCTATAACTCTAACCTTCGCTGGTCATATATTTTAACTTGCCCATTTTTTTTCCTCGCAATCTTCTTCTTCTTCTTTCCCTTTTTATTATACAGCCATAGCCATTGCTTCTCTACAACTTTCGCATTTGGCAATTTATGTCCTGAGTTGAATGTCGGCAAAACGTATAATTTGTTTTAATTTATTGTTTTTTATGTCGAGCGCAATATTTTTCATTGCTGTTTGTTTCATACAAGCGCAGTATGCTCGCACTAGCTCGCTCGCGTATGTACAGCCATTGACATATATGTTGTTTGTACATACGTTTGTTTTTATGCTCAGATATTTTGTATACACACACATATTTTATGGTTGTGTACACTAAACTGGCATAGATAAATGAATGATTGCAAGATGCAATAGAATGGTTTAGGTGAGGGGAGGGGGTGGTTTTGGGTTGAGGATGTGTTATGTGACGTTTAATGGGTTGTTTAATTTATGATATAGTTTTTATGCTATGAATCATGTGTTATGCAATAAATCGTCAAAATCTGTTTGTAATAATGCATAAAGCTATTGTAATTAGTTAATCAAAAACCAAAACCAAGAATCAAGAACCAAACACCAGGAACTAAGAACCAAGAACCAAGAACGAACCAAGAACCAAGAAACAAGAACCGAGAACCAAGTACCAAGAACCAAGAACCAAGAACCAAGAACCAAGAACCAAACCAAGAACCAAGAACCAAGAACGAACCAAGAACCAAGAAACAAGAACCGAGAACCAAGTACCAAGGGTCAGACACTCCAACAGAATTGTAAGGATTGTACAATCCTTACAATCCTTCCATACGAATTGTGAGGATTATACAATCCTTACAATCCCTACAATCCTTTTCATATAAGGATTGTAAGGATTGTACAATTCCTACAATCTTTCTATATGAGGATTGGAAGGATTGTACAATCCTTACTAAACAAAAAATAATGTCCATTTATTTTTAAAAAATAAGATAAAATACAAAAAATGAAGAAAGTCAGAAATTTCTTTGAAAACAATTATATTTAAAATGCAATAATTTACCGTGAATCAATTCGAATGATTATTTATACATTTCAACTCATTAAAAAGTTGTAAAAAGTATAATTTTTACACTTGTGAACAGGGTGAGTGATTTAAATCAAAAATCAAATTCAAAATCTTTTTGCAATGATTTTTAAAAGAGATTTTGATTTAAATCATTTTTGTATGGGGATTTTTTTTTTGGGATTTTGATTTAAATCTATTGTATGGAAGATTTTATTGGGATTTAAAAATCCCTCCATGTAAAATTTTTGTATTCAATTTCTCAAATTATTTTTCAAATCAACAGTTTTCAGTTGCAGTTCCTAAAGTAAGAATGAAGTTGATCATTTTTTGGCCAGAATCTTGCAACTGGATCTTTTAGATCCAAGCAGTTCTTAAAGAAAGGTTACAGCAACCAATGGTTCCATGCTGTTTGACTGAAACGAAATCCAATTCGTGATTTTTATCTTCTGTGCCTTGATGTACGAAAGGAACCGGCCATTTCGCCAAAATTTTTTGATTTCAAGAGGTGAATCCTTGATGAAAAAGCAACAAAAAACAATTTTTTTGTGGATGTAAAGGAACTAGGTGTAATAAAAGATATTTAAGTTTTTTAAAGGATTTAAAGCAGGTAAATCCTCATAAGAAGTAGGATCCAGGCATGCTTGATGAAGTCCAGTTATTTATATGCAAGCAGCAAGGCACAGAAGATTAAAAATCACAAATTGGATTTCGTTTAAGTCAAACAGCATGGAACCATTGCTGTAACCATTAATTAAGAAATATTTGGATCTAAAAGATCCAGTTGCAAGATTCAGGCCAAAAAAGGATCAACTGCATTCTTACTTATTAGGAACTGCAACTGAAAACTGTTGATTTGAAAAATAATTTGAGAAATTGAAAACAAAAATCTTACATTGAGGGATTTTAAAATCCCAATAAAATCTTTCATGCAAGAGATTTAAATCAAAATCCAAAAAAAAAATCCCTTTGAAAAAATGATTTAAATCAAAATTCTTTTTTAAAATCATTGCAAAAAGATTTTGAATTTGATTTTTGATTTAAATCACCCTCGTTTAGGGTGACCATCTGCGTAGTTTTACAACGGACAGAATTGATATATCAAGCTTATTTCGTTCTTTAAATTCAAGCAAATAAATTTTTAATATTAAATTAATATTTTTTCTCTAATAATCAATGAAAAACATTTTTAAATGTTCCATACATTTATTTCATCCTTACAATCTTTATATGGAAAGGATTGTAAGAATTACAATCCCTACAATCCTTTCCATATAAGGATTGTACGGATTACAATCCCTACAATCCTTCTCATATAAAGATTGTAAGGATTGTAAGGATTGTACAATCTTTACAATTCTTCCATATGGATTGTGAAGAAATGTACAATCTTTACAATTCTGTTGGAGTGTCTGACCCTTGCCAAGTACCAAGAATCATGAACCAAGAACCAAGAACCAAAAGTCAACAATTAAGAACCAAAAACGAATAATCAAGCACCAAGTACCAAGAACTAAGAACCAAGAACCAAGAGCTAAGAACCAATAATCAAAAACCGGGTTTTATGGGCAGTCATTGTTTGATTTCATTTGTAAATCATCCTACTAATCACATGTGAATAAATAATTCATATTTCCAAAATACCCAACAAAGTCTACCTCGTCGTACCTAAACAAAGACTTCATCTTTTACTAGCAGTAGCATCAATAACATCACTCATCCAGCAATTTAAAAAATTTGCATGGCAAACAATTAATTTAAAGTAAAAAATGCGCTTTCATCAAGTTCCAATTACCATCTTCACATACCGCAATCCGTTGTTCCAAAAAGCTATTACAAAACACTTCTCATATCATCGCATTATGGAACTAAACACCAAAGTGAATCAGCAAGAAGAAGATGAAGTTGGTGGAATTGACAAGAAAGAGAAGCATAAAAGAGAAAAAAAATTGCTAAGAGCACCAAGCGAGCATGAAAAGGCAATGCTGTATATGCGGTTGTAAAATGAAATAAAGAAAGAAAATGAACAAAAAGCAAAAGTTGAGGAGATAAATTACCTAATTGTAAACCCCATGCAGTTAAACGTTAAGTATGCTGTCGTTATTATCATTTTCTCGACAGCACTACACATAAAGTTATATTATTATACCAGGGTTGTTGAAAGTTTTGACTTCACATGCTCGCTTTCATGTATCTATATAGCATAAAGATAATGAAATGAGTCAAGCAAGGAGAAGAATTTGTTCGATGTAAGATATTGCAGAAATTATGGGAATTAATAAAGTTGATATTATTGGATGTGATATTGGATTTATGTTTTTTGATCAGGGATGTTATAGTTGTAATCAAGGTCTTTGTAAGAGTGTTGAAATACTAAGATACAAGCATACAGCGACGCTTTAACATGAGTCAAGTTTAAAGCGATGACTTGTAAAGAATCAAGTTTAAAGCGACGACTTACCAAGAATTAAGTTTAAAGCGACGACTTCCCAAGAATTAATTTTAAAGCGACAACTTGTCTAGAATAAAGTTTAAAGCGACGACTGGCCAAGAATTATGTTAAAAGCGACGACTTGCCAAGAATTACTTCTTCTTCTCAATTATCTTTATTAAGGTCCTTTTTAATAAATTTTAAGACCTTTTTCAATTCCAAATATTGCCAAGAATTAAGTTAAAAGCGACGACTTGTCAATAATTAAGTATAAAGCGACGACTTCCCAAGAATTAAATTTAAAGCGACGGCTTGCCAAGAATTAAGTTTAAAGCAAATTCAAAATTAAAGCAATGATTTGATAAGAATCTAATAATGCAACGACTTAATTCGATTTTTATTATAAAGCTGGTACATTCCCTAAGCTTCAAAATAGACGAAACCATCAATCTCAGCTTCCATCCTTTCAATTTCCTGCAAAAAAAAAAGAAACTTAAAACACATTAAGA